CATGTACGTAATCCAGCAGTAAGTATTAATAATGTAGATCTATCATTATACAGTGAAAATTCAGATGAAAATTGAGCTAAAAACTACATGTCAGACGACGGATATATTAATCCAACATTGTAGATGAAAAGCTTTCTCCATAAATCTAAGTAGAATTTAAATAAATAAAAAAAAGCATTGGAAAGTATTGCTATTTAAATAATAATTGATTTTGAATCTTGTAATCTTGATCTAAATCGGATAATAAACACGAACTCAGTTGACGTCTCTGAGTATCACGTGATGGCTGATTAAGAATATCTTCATGACCTTTAAATTAAGTGTGTGTCTGCTTGTAAGAAATGTTTCCTACGAAACTACGCACAGTAAAAACTACCCTAAAGCAATTTCTAAATGTTTTCTCACTTAAATAATGTCTCCGATCTCTTATTAATTTTACGTTACATTCTAGAAAAATGTTTTTATATTTTTACAGTTTATATTGCATTAAAAGTTTTATATTATATCCCATTAAAATATGTTTTTTAATCATTACATCATAAGAAAGGCAATAAGGTCACTAAGACACAAGGGGGGTTACTGAATGTGAAAGAATATATCCAAAAGAAAAAATATGGATAATGAAAAGCAAAAAGAATAATAAAATAAAATAACGACTGATATTGTATTTTTGAAGATCAAAGTTGACTGGAGAGCAATAAGCCAGAAGAGAGATCCACAAGCAAGACGTACGAGAGAAGGAACTGTTAGCATAGAACTTACGGTTGCAGCTAGCAGTTTTAACTGTAAAATGATGAGACTTTGCTGCCAATCTAGTACTGCACTTAAATTCGTAAAGTCGAGGAACAACATCGGAAACCTCATCAGAATAATTACCATGAAAATGTTTATAGAGGAATCACAGGAAAACTGCGTTACGGTGATGTAAAGTAACCGAAGTTGAAATGCCAGGTCGAGACCGATAACATTGCAGATTCTACTTTAGATTTTATTAAGAATCTCTAAACACATAGGAGAAGCACCAGACCAGATATGACAGGAATATTCAATGCATTTATATTGTATCAAATATTTATGTTTCATTACAGATTTATGTTGTATCACTTTAAAATGTTTATTTCTTTAAATAGGTCTTACATTATATTCTATAAAATTTTTTCATATATTCTACTGTTTTTATTCCATTAAAAGTTTTCGTATTATATTCCATTAAAAAATTTATACCCTATTTAAATTTAATTTTAAGTATTCGTTTTTACAGTTTTATATTGTATCACTATAAAATTGTTTTATATTCAATTAAAATATATTATTTATAGCTGGCCACTCGTATTCGAGGATAACCGTCTACTAGACAATCCCTATTGCAGACGCTTGCTCAGGTGAGTTTGTGTTTATTCCACACCTATACAACAACTATGCTGAGCAGACCTTAGTTTTTGGGAAAGAGCGTGTTATCTAGTGTGATCAACAATTTGAACAAGGCCAGCATGCTCAAACGTCACTTCGTGGTAGAACAGCTATCGACGACACATAAGGGTGCCGTCTACCCAATTTGACGTGTTATGGTTTCAGGCACGCTGTAATCGACCCCTTCATTGCGAGGATGTCTCCTTCCCTGACAAATCGACAATGGTGAGATTCGAACTCGGATTTCATGGTCAGAATGCAAACGTTCTAACCACACGTACCCATATTTTATATTATATTTCATTACAATATATATATATATATATATATATATTTAATGAAGTTAAAACTGTAATATATATATATATATATCACGTTTCAATAAAATATAATATAAAGCTGTAATAAAATATACAGCTTTTTTAGTAGCATATAATACAAAAACGTCATATATATATATATATATATATATATATATATATATATTGCAATGAAATATAATATAAAAAATATATATATATATATACAACTTTTAGTAGCATATAAAACAAAAAATATCATAGCATATATTTTAATGAACTATAAGTTAAAACTGTAATATATATATATATATATATATATATATATATATATATATATATAAAACATTAGCATATTTTTAATAAAATATATAATTTAAAAGCTGTAATAAAATATACAGCTTTTTATATTGTAGCATATAATACAAAACGTCATATATATATATATATATATATATATATATATATATATATATATATAGTTTTAACTTATAGTTCATTAAAATATATGCTATGATGATTATATTTTCATCGAAATGCAATAAACTCTAAGAAAAGCAATATATTATATTCCATTAAAAATTTCATATTTTACTAGTTTAAACTCAAAAATTTAGCTACCTACTCTTGTCTTTTACAGGGTCCGGTTTGTTCAAGCACCAGCTTCATAAACATTTTGGAATTGTTTTTTGTAAGATATTTATGCAAAATGTTAATACGAAAATGTTAGAGACATTACAGTTAAAATATATATATACAGACATAATATCTTATAATAATTGTGTTTGTCCCTCCCGTCGTTAGTTTACACGACCTTTACACCCTGCCAATGACTCAGGACTGTTGTTGTGATTAATTAGAATTCGGGTTTGAATATTTCTTGCATCCAATGTATCTAATACAAAATATATGAACTTTATTTATGTTTATTCGTGAAATAGTAAAATTTTGAAATCAGTTTAAAAGCAAAACCCTGCGAAAATGGAGTATTTCCGTACATTTTTTTCAGACAATCTTTAAAACTAAATACTCAGAAATTGGTAAAAGCTATAAATCTAATTTTTGGTGTCAGTACTTATATCAAACCCAAGCTTTCATACGGAGTGTAGAGTTGATTTTCTAAAAGCAGTGAAAAATCTAACCTATTGAGCAGTATTAAAAATGAACAAGCAGAGATGTCTATAGACATGGACAGTGGAACGAGGTCGATCTACCCCCATAAATTAAACAATAGGCTCGGTTTAAAGTACCCTGAAGTTTAACCGGATTGACAGGCGCCCGAAGAAAGCCGGAGAGTATAGCGGCCGAAACATTCTGATAATATCAACAAACACGAGGACATTAATACAAATGTAGAATAAATGATGATAAGTTATCCGAGAAATTCAGAAAAAAAATAGTTTAACGTAGCTTCTTCTTTATATGCTGTGCCCCTCAGGACGTTGGCGATTATGACTCTCCACAACTTCTTGTCCGTTGTAGCTCATAATAAATATCGTCTTTCTGTTATTTCTCTTAAAACCTGTTCCGCCATTCATTTACTCAAGCTCACTATGTTATGCGTTTTCTTTGACTCTCTTGCCTTCAATCTGTCCTGTGAGTATCAGATTTTCCTAGCCCTCTTTCCTCATTATGTGCCCTAGAAACCACAATTGTCTCTTTCTAATGTCAAGTAGATGTTTCCTTTTTGTTTCCATTTCCTCGAAAACTTCGTCGTTGCTCACATGTTTGGTCCATGGTATCCTCAACATTCTTTTGTAGAACTACATTTCTGTTCCCTTAAGTCACTTCTTCATCACTGAGGAGAAGTACTTAACCAGAGAGGGATTAAAAAACCGACCATTGGGAGCACCAGAAGTTACGCAGCGAGCAGACACGGTTCGATTCCCATTATGGATGTGTGGAGAGCCATGCTCACTTACGTCCTGAAAGGACATGGTGTTAAAAAACTGTGCATAAATGATTTACCCCTCTCATGGTTGACAATAGGTCTTACAGCTTTTTGCTACCACCTCCGTGTGGCCATTGAATTATTTATGGGGAAGTGGTTTAGCAAAGCACTTAATCACCCTTTCACTTTTCTGTTAACCGGTGTAGCATGACGACGAATAGACGAAGCGGATTCATGCCTTTCTTAGGGGCAATGATGCTAATTGAATATGAGCGGCTTCTGTTGTAATCAAAGAAAGTAATGAATAGATAGATAAATATATATATATATATATATATATATATATATATATATATATATGTGTGTGCGTGTGTGTTTATGTGTGTGTGTATGTGTGTGTGTATGTTCGAGAAGGAGTGAAATAAACAGAGCGTGTGAAAAGATATCGTAAAACCAGAGAGAAAGGTAATACATACAATATACATATTCGCAGGTGCATCAAAAAGTCCTTGATAGCTTGATAAAAAATACTTTTATTTTTATGTAACCAAAAGCATTTTTCAAAATCACTCCCTTTCTTCTTAATTCAGTGAATTTTAATTGAACATTATACAGTGATAATTTCAGACCAATATTTATTTAATAACTACGTGCCAGATTATCGACTTATCGATCCACCTTCGTGTGTAGGTTCATCAATAAATACGTATGAAGAATAATAATAATAAAAAAAAATTTATTTTACGCTATAATTAATTTTTTCCAGCATTTATTTCCCTCCTTGTCAATGCACATAATTCAGTGGTGAATATTAATCATTATACAGTGAAAATCTCCGATGAAAATCCTACCACTAGCAGTTTATTAATCCCCATCATCGTTAATGTATATTTTAGAGAAAACAGGTGAATAAAAGATTATCTATTGGTTTTATTGACAACTGAAATAGTTGTATATTTGCCTCCAGCGCCAGTTAACGGCGTTCGTATCCTGGCAGAAGCATGGACTCTAAATGATGATTTTCATGGCAGGCAGTCAAGTTCATCTTGAAAACTGACATGTCACACCCAAATCCAGCCAAGTGTACCCTGTTGTTTAACCCATAGCTGGAGGAGAACAGACGGATTTAAACCTTTCTAAAGACCCACCCACTATTGCTACCGGATTCCTAATCTTGTTTTGATTGACTGATTGATTTGCTTTTTACGGATTATCAAACTTTTCCGGATTATTTAAAGCCCGAAAATATTTTTTGATTGTAATAATTCTTTTGGAGAAAATAATGATTTACTGAGACAAATTCTACTATTTAACCCATAGCTGTAGGAAATAGGAGTGGATTCATGCCTTGCCTAACGGTAATGTGTGGATAAGTGAATATAAATAACCTGGCTGGAATTGGAATTCCCAAGCGGTCACCCATCTAGGTACTGCCCAAGCTCGACGTTGCTTAACTTCGGTTATCGCACGAGAACCGGTGATTCAACGTGAGGTGATCGAATGCCCATCGTGTGTTGAATTCATTATAATAATAATAATAATTTCTATTTGACAGCTTACCGATGTAATTTTTTTTTAATCATTTCACCACAAGCTAGGCGATAATGCCAATAGATCACAGGGGGTTAACGGAAGTGAAAGAGAATGAAAAGCTTTTAGTAAGGAGAAAGGACAATAAAAGTACGGTTTTCAGGAAGACAGAAGATGGCGATTGACATTGCATTTAAATTTTTGAAGATTGTAGACGGCACGGAAGCAAGAAATCGGAATAAATTTTAACAGGTGAGAAATCCGAGAAAATAAATTATTAAAATATAATTTACGTTTACATCTAGCTAATTCAACAGTAAGACGAGGAGACAAAGTTATCGATCTAGTAGTACGCTTAAATTCATGTGGTCGAAGTACTGAGGAGAAGAGCTCATTAGAACAACTGCTATGAAATATATATTATAGAAAAAACAGAAGGAAAAGGCCTTAAGGTCAAGGGAAAGGGACTGAAGTCGAGATGCCAGGTCAGGATTGATAACATTACAGATCCCTCTTTGAATTTTGTCAAGAATGTCGAGATATGTGGTAGGAGCTCCAGACCAGATATGACAGCAATATTCAATGCACAGACGATGGTAGATTTATAAATATGTAAGACAAATTCTGACGGAAAAAAATTGCTTGACACGGCACAGTGAACCAACTTTCCTAGCAGTAGACCTAGCAATTGATTCAATATAATCTTTTCACTTCATGTCAGTGGAAAACGTAAGACCAAGATGGCGCAATGAGTTGCTCTCCTGGTATTAATTAATAAAATAATAAATTCTTCTTAGACCCGTGCTCGTAATCTTAGTCCCGGGGACCGTTAAATTATATTTTAAACATCAAATTTTATTTGTTGCTGAGTTCTCACTTTATTCGTTATTTTGATAAAAGATTGAGCAAAGAATGAAAGAATCATTTCGTCTCAATCCCCGTCCGTTCAACGATAGCCCCTCTCTAACTGAATATTCTGACTGATCGGCCGGCTGACTCCTGACTGTATGAATACCAAATGGCCGAATAAATCGGCGTGGCCAGTTCCTTGCTCTTCAACGTATTCGTGGACAAAAACATAGAAACAAGTGATACTTAAATCATGAAACTTAATTGCCTTCTTTGCTTTTATTGGACCTCATTTTAATATTGACGTGTTACATCAACGTTTAGTAGCAGGAACTGAATGAAGTGGAAAGATTATAATGAATCAAATGCTAGATCTGATGCTAGGAAGGTTGGTTCACTGTGTTGTGCTAGACAGTTTTTATCTGCAGAATCTATTTTACATATTTATAAGTTTACCATTCGCCCTTAAGATGAATATTACTGCCACATCTGATCTGGCGCTCCTGTTATTTATTTAGGGATTCTTGAAAAAAATTAAAAGAAGAATCTGCAATATTATTGGTTCTGACCTGGCATCTCGGCTTCAATCACTTTCCCACCGCCGTAACGTAGCTTCTCTGTGCCTTTCTTATAAATATTTTCAGGGTAACTGTTCTGATGGAATTTCCACTATGGTACCTAGACTTTATGAATTTAAGCGCAGTATTAGATCGGCGTCAAATGGCTATATGTAATCGTAAGTTCTACGTTAAGAGTTTTTTCTATCGCACTTCTCGCTTATGGAACTCTCTTCTGGCTTCTTGCTTTGCAGTCAACTTTGATCTTCAGAAATTTAAATGCAATGTCTATAATTATCTTCTGTTTTTTTTTTTTTTAATTCTTGTTCTTTTTTGTTCCCTCTCACTAATAATGTTTTATTTATAGTCTTTAACACTCAGTATCCCCTTGCGTCTTAGTGACTTCATTGCCTTACTTGGGATGTAATGAGAAAAAATGATTCCTGAGATCACGTCACACTGTCGAATAGAAAGGTAAGTCACCGATTTTTCGATTGCGTTGGTTTCCCAACAGTGCCGGATTATCCGCTTCCCGGATCAAGAAAAGAATCATAATAATAATTAAAATACTAAACTAGTATTGGCAGGTTGTTCAAATTCCGGTCGAGGCCGCTGCGTTTAAAAAAATCATTTCACTCCAAGAAAGGCAATAAAGCCACTAGTACGCAAGAGGTTACTAAGTGTGAGAGAATATGAGAAAAACTACTATTAAGGAGAGAGGAACAATAAAATAACAGGGATGAAAACAGAAAAAAAGATTGACATTACATTTAAATTTTTGAAGATCAAAGTTGACTGATACATTCTATTTAAATATGTTTTTTAATCATTAGATACAAAGTATGACAATAAAGCCACTAAGACATAAGGGATTACTGAGTGTTAGGGAATGTGTGAAAATGCTATTATTAGAACAATAAAAGAACAGGTATTAAGAAGGCAGAAGATAACGATTGACATTGCATTTAAATTTTAGATCAAAGTTGACTGGGAAGCAAGAAGCCGGACGAGAGTTCCAAAAGCGAGAAATGCGATAGAAGAAACTGTTAGCATAGAACTTACGGTTACATATAACAATTTCAGCTGTAAAATGATGAGATCTTTCCGCCAGTCTAGTACTACGCTTAAATTCGTAATGTCTAGGTAACATAGCGAAAAGTTGATTAGAACAATTACCATGAAAGTATTTATAGATATGGCGCAGCGAAGCTACGTTACGAGATGCCAGGCCAGAACCAATAACATTGCAGATTTTTCTTTTGATTTTATCAAGAATCTTTAAATATTTAGTAGAAGCGCCAGATCAGATGTGGCATTAATATTCAAAGCAAGGACAAATGGTCGACTTATAAATATCTCATATTTTTTTAATTATATTTTCCTTCCTTTTCGGAAAAGTATCTATTTTCTTTTGAAAGTCAAATGTAGGAATGTGACTGAAGATACCAGGTCAGGGCCAATAATTTTGCAGATTCTTCTTTGGACTTTATCATAGAGAATTTCAAGTCTTGATAGATACATCTATAAAGTTTGTGAAGCAAAAACTGATACTGAGGCTTTCCCTGATAAGTAATCAGAATCTCTATTGCGAAATTCCTTTCCTTCTGTTCGTGTGTATGCAGCTAAATGAACATGTCAGCCTTTGAATGTCGCCAAATCTGCCGTTTGACTAACGAGAGTAAATGATTAACTATGCTTTTTTTCCTCGTCTTTTTGGAAATAATGAACTGTGGAGTTAGCATTGAAATCGGGCTGAACAAATCCAGAGTGTGTGTGTGTATGTGTGTGTGTGTGTGTGTGTGTGTGTGTGTGTGGAGAGAGAGAGAGAGAGAAGAAGAAGAAGAAGAATAGGAAGGAATATGCGTAGAACCATAAATTTGAATCGCTAGAAACAAAGAAAAGGACGTTGAATCGCCAAGTAATATTTATCCTCCTATATGACAGTGATATTTTTAATAATACTCAGCAAATACAAGACCTGGCAGTAAATCGAGATAGAGGCTTACTGTGTGGTATTGGATTGGCGTAAGAAAATGCAATAAGTGAAGTATTTGCGTCTATACTGGAAAGATAACCTCTAACTGTAGACTTGAAGGGGTCAATATTTAATTAGTGAATAATATTTCACAGTTTAGTCGGAGGCATTAGAAATATAGTTTGAAAGTAGATTTAGAAAGAACCAAAAACCCAATCCTAAGCAGGAACCAAGAGATAAACCTTTAGTCATGTTCAAAAGACCGAGGCGGAGTGTGAACTGGATAATAGGCGAACCTATCTACTCCTATTGGGGGAGAAAAGAAAAACTAAACAATACTTAGTGAACAGAATGTCAAAGTTCAGTCGTAGAAGTATAGAGTGAAAGTAGACTTTAAAAGGAACCGGAAACTCAATTCTAAACAGGAAACAAAGGATAGACCTCTACTCCTGTTCAAAAAACCGGGGAGGCGTACGGACGATTTCTGCAGATGAAGATGGAACTTGAGACAACGGAGATGCCACTCTATAGAAGGATGTTGAGAATAGCATAGTGAAAACATGTTAATGAGGAAAGAGGGCATGGAGAATTTGACACTAACAGTACATACTGAATACAAGATGGACAGCGAAAAACAACGAATGGCCTACCTAACAAGCTTGTTGCCTAATTCTGCCAGTTACACTTGAATTAATTCTTAATCACAGAAAATCTTCTAGATTTAATCTACTGTAAACAGATTGAGTGTATTGAAACATGGCAAAACAATTTTAAGCCCCAAAAGACAAAGTTTGGTGATTACATTGTCATGAGATAACGATATATATTTTAATATATAAGAAACAATATGTGGGAAAAATGTATGCCAAAGTGGAAAAAGTTTTCTTGTGACGCGTTTCGACCTTTAGGACTTCATCAGAGTAAATTTGTTATGTTGGCGTGACTACACAAGAGATGCTGGGAATTTTAATTTTTAATTTTTATTTTTATATATTTTATTTTGTTTGGCAAAAACAAAGTCAATACAAAACAAAACAATAAGTTAAAACTTGAAGGCGTAATTTACACGATCGCCTGTAATAATTGTCACAAAAAATAAATAGGAGAAACCTCAAGTAATCTAAATAAAATATTATATGAACACAAAATAAACATTTTACAAAACAATACATCAAATGCATTGGTTGCCCATCGTAACGAGACTGGCCACAGTTTTGACATAAAAATGCTACTGATCAAAGGAGAAAAAAATCACTAGGACGAAAAAGAGTGCTTTGATCGCAAGGTTATCTACAGTAAATTTGCGCCCGGTCTCATATAAAAGTTCACCATTCCTGGCAGAACTTCTATTATCACAGTGTGTGATATTTACTAACAAAAGTGATGGAAAGCAAAAGAAAAATAATCTAAATGAAATCGGCTAGATATTAAAAAAAAAAAAATTCTAAGCTTCCCTTGTTCATGCGCATGCGTAGTCACGCCAACATAACAAATTTAGTCCAATGAAATCCTAAAGGACGAAACGCGCCACAAGAAAATTTTTTCCACTTTGTCATATATTTTCCCCCATTATCAAATA